GTTTTATTTGTATAAACATTTTTAAAAAAAAAAAAAAAAAAAAAAAAGGCCTGCCAAACTAGTGATGGCTATGGTGGTTTGGCATCATTGTTCCATCCAAGTGATGCATCATTTGAAACAGATGAGATGTCTATTGTCTATAGTTTGGCCAGCTGTTAGCCATCCAAGCCCATAATTTGTTTTTCGAATGCAACACTTTTTCTCAATTGAAGACAGAGCTTGAGTAAAGAGATATTATGATTTCAATTTGCCGACTCTTTTGGTCAGGGCAGTCGAAATCAATACAACAGAAGTGGATAGGTGCTGGTGAGACCTACAAGTTGGTTTCGCATGGCTGTGCTCTCTTTTCTTTTTCCCCTATACTTCAGTGGGAAAGTGAATTTTGCTATTTATCTTGAAAATCCAAATTTTATGGGCTTTTATTTTTATATTTTGGGATATCAGAGCTAATCTTTCTCGTTAAGATTTGGCAATGGATTGAGTCACTGTCAGCTTTTATATATATTCCCTATTTGATTGGATTAATCATATTTTAGAGCAGGAGAAGTTGTTCCTTTTTATCTTTTTTTTTTGACATTTGCTAATCCACAAAAAAAAAAAACTGAAAAAAGAAAGAAGAATACTCTCGCATCTTGACTTCAATGCCGGACATACAGCATTGCATGATGATGTTCATGTAATAAAATTGCAGCTTTTTCTTCTTTTATTTTTTTGGGTACAAACTATGAAAGAAAAAAAAGTTTGGGACTGATAAAGTTTCCTTTTTTACTTTTTAGCAGCAACTATTTTCCCATGTATCTCCACCAATTTACTAATCCAGTCTTTTTTATTTGTTTTTGTATTGTATTATTATCACTCCTTTAACGAGAAGAACTTGCATGTCACAGAAATAACACTATTTTCCTATTCTTATCAAATCATGTTTCATCATGTGAAATCATGACAGAATATGATTGATTAGGATAGTAAAACAATAATATCCCAAGTTTTTCTTCCCTTTAACAGTCTAACATTATATCTAAAACATAAGATGCTGATTATCTTGAGTGCATTTACTTTATCATCCCAATCAACATATGGGTATTTGTGTTCGATAGAGTTGTGAAATTTTTGTTGACAATGGTGTATAGCTCACCTTACTGTTATGCTGCTGGAGTTGAACTCCTAGTTCTACTTATATGGAATCGTTCTTTCAGGTTTCTGTTACTTTTGTTGGTAAATGCATATTGGTGTATGAATATGACATTACAGGCACTTATTTGTCATGCTGATTTGTTTTCGAAATCTGCTTTCATTCTATGCATTAAACTATAGAGGGTTTTTCTGTCTAATTTATTGGAATCAGGCAAACCATCAAATCACCACAAGAATGCAAAGACGGCTCTATAGTCATGCAACTGATGTTGAGATTCGCCCTTTGAATGAGGAGAAGGCTGTGCAGGCTGCTGTGGACCTTATTGGGGAGCTCTTTGTTTTCTCGGTAATTTTATGGCTAGTAACTTGGTTGTGCATTTTCTCAGAGCTATTTTGTTATTCTGATTAATATCTGATTCCAGTTTATCAATACACACTGAAAGACAGAAACCAAAAGATAAATATGTAGATATGGGCTTTGTCTCATTATGTGCATATGTAGACATGTGAACCCATTTCGAGTCTGCATGTAGATGATGAAAGTCAAGAATCAAGATGTGTGCTTGGTTATAATTGTATGCATGTCCCTGTGTAACAAGAAATAAATTTGATTGCTTTATTGTCACTCAAGGACTCAAAAAGCTGGTGACTAATCTTATTGGGGAGTCTTTGAGAATACGGCTTCCTTGTAGAAGTACACATGCTCTGTAGGTGGGAATTATGCCGATGCTTTCGTATATAACACGGGGGGTGTGGTGTGGTGTCGTACTTAATGTGCCTAGGAATCTGACTGACTGGCCATATTTGCACCATAAAACCAACTGTATATGTATCGTTTGTTCCATGATTACTTAATGTCCAAATTTCAATATATATAGGTTGCAGTAGCTGTTTTGATCTTTGAAGTGCAAAGAAATTCTAGATCAGAAGCCAGAAAGGAGGAATTACGCAAGCAAGAACTGGAGGTATTGTGCAATACCTTCTTTGTTAAAATGATACCGACTCAATGTGTTGATTTGCATTTATATGGCAACTTTCACTTGCAATCATTTCATAGATCGCATGAGTTATATAGAATTTTATTCAGTTGTACTTTTACCTTCTTTTGAACACTTGTTTTGAGCCTCCAGTCCTTTTCAAACTGCTAATGCAGTTCAATGCTGGCGATCAAAATTGCTTACATTTCATCCGTATATCTTTAAATACAGAAGATGTGCATTTTTCCACTTACTGAAATAGTCCAAGTCCTATTCCGAGGTCAATTTTGTTACCAGATTATAATGGAAATGAACAAAGGAGATTGTAATTCTCATGTTAGGTTTACCTTTCATTTGTGTGCAAATCACTATCCTTTCTTTCCCGAAAAGAATAAACAGGAGAATGTCTCTCTCTCTCTCTCTCTCTCTCTCTCTCTCTCTCTCTC